GGAGGAGGAGGAGGAGGAGGAGGACGGAGGAGGACGGAGGAGGAGGGAGGAGCGCCTCTCCTAGGGAGGTCTCGGCCCCTCCCCTGGGGAGGACTCGGCCCCTCCCCCGGGGGCGGCTCTTCCTTCCGTGTCGCTCCGCTCCCTGGAAGACAAGAGATAGTGTCTAAATTGTCGGCGCTCCCCTGCGGGAGGTCCTACACATTCTGCGAGTCTATATTCTTGAAGCCTGCGTCTAAATCTAAGCCACGATCTGATGTAAATTACAATGTTTTCTGAACGCATTCGTTAACAAATTTAAATACGAATGTGAATTTCGATATTTTCCGAAATTTAGACACGAATGCACATTATTTATACACGATTTAGACACGCTCTGCTATATTTGGACACGAATTTAAACACGGCTCTGATTTAGACACAATTTAGCCACTATTTAGACATGTCCTGCGTCGAAGCAAAATTGGCCCGCTGAATTTAGACACCTCGTTAGACACGGCGCGCCCTAGAATTTCATCACAAGTCTGACGACTTTTCCATTGCTGCATGAATGTGCTGCTTCACTTTGTCGACCGCGCGCGCTAGAAATTGTGGCGTCGATGCGCGCGCTGACGACGAGTGCGATCGAAGCGAGCGCAATGGCATCGCGCGCGGCGGGGATAAGGGGAAGCATATAGCTTTGAATTGGGCAAAGATATAAAAGAGGCGGGCGGGAAGCCCGTTCGCTTTCGATAGCTTTCCGAGGCTTCAAAATGGCTCCAAGACGGCCCAAGATGGCCCCAAGAGAGGCCCAATAGAGCCCCAATCTGGCCCCAAGAGCGCCCAAGAGCGCTCCGAGAGCTCCCCACGGGGGGGGGGGAATTAAAAAACCACTCTTTGTTTTTATTGATCGATGTCCTCCAAGATGGCCCCAAGAGGCGCCAGTGAGGCCCCACTATTGCCCCAAGAGGCCTTCAAGAGGCCCCCAGGAGGCCTCCAAGAGGACCCCAAGCGGCCCCTTCCGAGGCACCCGAGACGCCCAAAAGCCCCCCAGGACCGCCAATAGACCCCCACAACGTCCCAAGAGGCCTCCAAGAAGCGCCCAAGAGATATCCCAAGGGGTTCCGAGGGGCATCCAAGCAAGAGACCTCTGGCCCTTGTGCCTCCCCCTCATCCCATTCATCTCCCCCCCCCCTCATCTCATTCATCTTCCTTCTCCCCCCTTCCGTAGCCATTTTGGCTCAAGTCCGTAGCGTTGTGGCTCAGTGGACTAGAGTTCTGGCAAGTTCTGGCATTGGGGGAGAACGGCCCCAACCTCGCACGCAGAGCTCTGCTGTATATTGCATTGGGCTGGCCCTACAGTACTTCACTTCTCTGTGCAATCTGTTTTCTCACTACCACGGCGTGTCCATGGGAAAAGATGATGCTTCGCTCTTGGCTCCTTGGCGCACTGTCTGGCCGAAGAACAAAGCTACCAGCGTCCGTCGCAAGCTTGCAAAGCCGCCGCCCACGGGACCAACCTGGCGCAGTGGACAGTGTGGATGTGCACGCAACGAGGAGCGGTGGCAGTGGTGCAAACATTGCTTCGCGGCGCGCACTCCCGAGCCAGGCTGGATTTCGCCAGCCCCATGGTGCGACAAGAGAGCCAGCCACACTTGGTCGCAGGGGCACTTCGGCAACGTCGACCCGGGGCTTCCGCTGCCCGTGGGGCCGCAGGCTGGCCCTGGTGCTGCTACTCCGACTTGGACGGATTGGACACACTCGAGCTCAACAGCCTCCTCAACACCGCCACCAAGACTGGAGACAAGAACCTCGCCAATCGTGTCCAGGGGCCCCTCACCATACTGGCCAAGCCAACTCCGCCATTTGTGGAGAATGCCCATGGAGCAGAAGTTCGCTGAGTCGCGCAAGGAGCGTGACAAGTTGCTCCAGCGCCTCGCCCGCGAGCTCGACAAGCATGACAAGTGGCAGGAGCAGCTCCGCGAGCATGAGGACCACATCTGCGGCCTGCGCGCGGAGTTGGAGGTCATGGACAAGCAGCATGCAGAGCTGGCCAACAAGTTGGCCTGTGCGGCTCCCCCTGCTGAACCTGGCCCCACTCGGATTAAGCTGCAAGACCTGGTCTCTGGCAAAGTGGACTCGCTGTATTTCGACCTGGGCCTCTTGGAAGAGATGCCTGCGTGCCTTGAGCTGGACGAGGAGGACCGCAAGAAGGTCAAGGAGCGCACCGCGCAGCTCCGTGAGGCCCTGGCCGCGAAAGCCAAGGCCCTCTTCGCTTCCGCCGTGGAGGAGGCCAAGCGGGCGGTCACGGAGCACGAGGCTGAGGAGAACCGCCTCATTGCGAAGGAGCGCCGAGTCGATACTGAGGACGAAGGAGGCGAGCCCAAAGTCCAAACCAGGAGGCGCTGACGAGGCAGCTCAGGCGACAGCGGCAGTTTCCTCAGCGGGAGCGGCAGCATCGACGGCGGCCCCTGCGATCGCCCAGAAGGAACAGTTCGACTCGGTCAGGGCTCGCCTGGCCCAATTCGAGCGCAGGGGGGGCTCGGCGGCCACTCCGGGAGGCAAGGGCCAAGCGTTTGTCGCCAGTGCCCAGCGGAGTGCTCAAGCTGATATCCCGCACTCCACATTTCCAGTGCCATCCGCCCACTGACTTGCCTTTTGGCTGCGCCCCACACATCTTACATCAAGCATGTGCCCTCCTTGGTCGAGCTATGTTGCCTGATGAATTCTCTTGTCATGCGCTGGCTGTGGTTGCTAACGTTCGTGAGCAGATGGGGTGGGCGCAGAAGGTATCACAGATGGTGCTGGCGAAGGCTACCCTTCCACGTCTGCTCCTTCAGCCTCCCGCTCGTCAGCGCCTACGTGTACGCCTACGGCTACGACGAGCTGGCAAGGCATTGCCTGTGCCACTGAGGCTGGAGGTTTTTCGCCCCCACTGGAGCTCGATGCGGCTCAAGAAAAGCCGTTGTCAGGACACACTACCCAGACTAAATATCCACACGTAATGCGGCATGTTTCTTTGGAAAAATCCAGTACTCATCAGTGTGCTCCTCCGACTGCTCCAGTTGAAGTTCGAGCTGCTCGGCGCGCTTACCTGGATGACCCAGACTTCGACCCGTTCGACAATCTCGACACCCAGATGGACGACCTTACTGAGTGCCATGCCTCTGCAATGGATGAAGCTAACATCGGATGCAGGCCTAACGCCCCGTCGAACCCCTCGGTCTCGGGTGTCTTGGGTACTTCCTCCTCTCGGATCGCCAGAGGAGCGACGCCACAGCTGGACGCAGCTCGATCTCACAACATCAACGAGGCGTCTGGAATGACCGCTGCTGCTCACGCCACGGGGGTGCAAGACGATGACCAGCCTGAGACCTTGCAGCGTCGACAGTCTGCTCAGCACGCCACCCTCCTCTTCGCCGACATGACCGAGCGGGGCTCCAAGGTGCGCAGTTCCGTCAACAGCCACGAGGGCGTCCACCCCATTGCCGGCTTGGTGGAAACGCACCTGCCTGCTACCAAGTGCGCGCGCTGGACGGAAGAGATGGGGAAGGATGGATGGCGGCTCTCGTTTAAGGCCGGCTTCGATTCAGGCAAATCTGACACGGGGATCTCGGCTGGAGAATGGATCCTCACCCGCTGCCACTTAGCAGCCACGCAGTTCGACAGGTTGAGAGACCAGGCGATTGAAGACGGACGAATGGATCCATTCAAAGGATTTTCGGCTACTGCGCTGCATCTCAAGTCTGGCAATCTCATCTCATAGCGGCCTACCTCCTGCCAGCGAACGGCCTAGCTCAGTACAACAATGAGGTGCTTGTTGCCCTTGGAGCCTTTGCCAAGGCGTTAGCCGACCCATGGTTGATAGTGGCGGATTGGAACATTGAGCCGAAGGTCTTGACTGATAGTGGGTGGTTGGAGCAACTTCGCGGCAAGATTCTCTTATAAGATTGCCAGCTCACCTGTGGCAAAGGCCAGGGTCGTATGTAAGACTACGCAATTGTCTCGAGACAGCTGGCCACATACCGCATCAAGCTTCGTCAGGTGTTAGCTGTACCATGGAGGACCCATTGCGCCATCGCTATTGACGTCCTCGACGCCAAGAAGACGTGGTGGCACCGCTCCTTGGAAGTACCCGACCCCTTGCCCAGAGCCAGCAGGCCTAAGAAGGCCCCGAACCCTGATAGTAAGCGTTCTCAGAAAAGACAGTTGGTGCAAGATGCTCGACGGCAAGAGCTACCTGGACCTCCGAGAAGCCTTTGATGATCTGCCCTCTCAGGAAGTTGCGCCTGAGGCACCGCCTGCGCAGTTCAAGCTGGACAAGGACGCATGGTGTACCCTCAGCGACTCCCTGGGCGACGAAATCTATAAGCCAGCTACACCAGCCGCTCACCTTACCGCTGGTGCACTACCCGCGTGGCGGCCCTCTCAGCGTGCTGCGCTGGATCAGAGATACGGACGCTGGGTCACCACCTTGGAGCGTGCTATGTTGCAAGTCAGCGATGTGGAGGACCCCAACAAGCATATGGGACGAGCACATGGTTATTCAATCCCTTGGCGGAAGATGCGTCCTGCCCCCTGGCAGGCCTCGCATGTGCGATCCCGTTGCGGAATGGCGGGGGTATGCCTCTACATTGCTCACTCGTGGGCTGGCACTGCAGAGGTCAGGCAAGGACCCTGCAGAGGCGCCCAAGTGCTTGACAGGTTTCAGCAGTATGTGTAACAACCTGGACGACGCCAAGCGCCGCGACTACTTCGGTAAGAAGGCCCTCAGTATTGACATTGACGATTGGAAGACTCAAGGCCAGCAGGCCCGCTGCCTCGATCTTGATCAGCTTCAGACTCTTCTGGAGTGCACGCAGACTTGGACAGACAGAGCTCAAGGCAGATCCTTGGCCAAGTCTCGCCAGGCTTTCATGGATTGGGCTAAAGAGACGTGGTCCAAGAGCCCTGGTGCAGTGCATCGTCATGTCAGAGCACCGCCGCCAGAACCGCTTCCTCGAGAGGTTCTGCAGTACGGAGCGTACACGGCTGACCCAAGCGTTCTGCTACGCACCAAGAAGGACGTCTGGCAGGGCATTTGGACGGAGACGCATGACACGAGAGAGCATCTATTTTGGACGTTAGAAGGCGTAGCTCGCGACGCTCGTGATGACCCACTCCCCCCTCTCAATGAAGGGCAACTTGAGTCAGTGATTCGCAGGCAAGCCCCCAACAAGGCTAGAGGAGTTGATGGACTTGGCCCGATAGATCTTCAACGGATGCCCATGCTGGACTCGCGGAGCTCACGCGCATCTTGAATCAAGTCGAGCTGGATCAGATCTGGCCGACAGCACTGTTGGCCACCATATGTGCAGTTATCCCCCAGCCCGCTGGAGGCTCTCGAGTCTTAAGCATGCTTTCCCATTGCTGCAAGACGTGGAGCCAGGCCGGGGGCTCCATCACGGCTGAGTGGTCAGACGGTCTCTCAGCATTATGGGACACGGCCATACGGGACAGCAGTGCGCCACGGGCTGCGATGATGCGCAGCTTGATGGACGAGGCTGTCGCCACCAGAGGCTTTGCGACAGCCACGGTGCTTTTGAACATCGCCAAGTTCAACGGTTCGACTTCGTTTACTCTTCTGATTGTTGCTGCGCGGGGCCTCAACTTCCCGCCCGCGGTCGTGCTGATGGAGGTGCTGTTTTGCACGTCGCCGCGCATCCTCAAGGAGGGCTCGGTCATCAGCGACCCCTTCTGCCCAGGCCGTTCGATCGTGGCAGGCTCGTCGCATGGAGTTTGTCTAGGAAAAGTATTCTTACACTCAGTGTTGGATTCAGCGCGCAAGAGAGCCCCAGGCCTCCTTGTGGACCTTCGTTGACGACACAGTGGGACGCTCCGAAGGCACTCAAGAGGGCGTCGTCTCGGAGATGCAGGGCCTGGCGGACGCGTTCTCGGAAGGCTTCAGAGTGAAACGTCTAACAGTTTCTGATAAAAACGGTTGTCTTGGCGTCGTCACCTGAGCTAGGCAAGCTCGTTGCTAGGATTTTCAGAGCCCGAGGGATGCCCGCCAAGTATGCTCCCACAGGCGTTGATTTAGGTCTCGATACCGCGGCTGGTTGTTTCAGGAGTCGTAAGAAAGCTAGACAGAGGATGACCAAAGCCAGTGGTTGGTTTCTCGAATTGTTAAGATGAGGCGACTAGCGGGCTTGAGGAAAGTCACGCAGGGCGCTTGGCGCACGGGTGCCTTACCTCAGGCCAGATACGGCCATCAAGTTCTTGGTATGCCACCGAGTCAGGTCCTCCTGTTACGGCGTCAAGCTGCCCGCACGGTCACTGGTTATAGCAAAGGCAAGTGTTTAACCACTGTGCTGCAGGCTGTGCTTGGCGACGGCGACCCCGGTTTGGAGGTCGGACGCCAACTTGTGGACTCGTGGCTCCAACTCTGGAAGCGTTTTCCAGCCCTCCAGCCCCGAATCCGCCGATTGTGGGGTTTGGTCAGGATCCAGATCGAAGCCCTTGGCACTCGGCGCTGGAGGGGCATCAGAGGCCCCATAGCTGCTGTCCAAGCCACCCTTCTGGAGGCTGGTTGGGAGCCCAGAGAGGGGGTAGGGGGAGAGGTAAACCCCTCCCCGAAGGGGGAGAGGGGGGTGGAAGAGGAAACGCCCTAAACCACCTGCGCCCTAAAAGGCTGGTGGGATTTGACACGCTCCCTCGACGATCCCGGCCCAGACAACCGGAGGAGTGGCTTTCTCAATCCGCGGGCCCCAGAGGGCTCGACGACCCTCACCTGGGGGCAGCGTCTCCTCCCCGCATCCCTTCTTGGTGACCCCGGGGGCCGAGAGCAACCTCCGGAGGCCGAAATGACCAGGCATGATCGCGTCGTGGAAAAAAGCATCAGGACGGCAGGTTTTTGGCCGTTTTCGGCCTCGGAAGGCCCTCGCCGGGCCTCGGGACCGTTAGCAAAACGACTCAGGGCGAAACGCCGGTCCCAGGGAAAGGGCCGGGACTTCCAGGGACCCCGTATCGAAAAAATCAGGACGTCGCATGTCTGCGGAGGGAGCCAGACCGAAGGATGAAACGTCAGTCCGCTCGAAGTCCGGGATAATTACTCAACCTCGAGCTTCTAGAATTGAAAAGCCAAAAGGCGATGACAATCTTAGGGATGCGCGCCCAGAAACTGAGGGACCCCCCAATATCGGCATCGAGTCGAGTCGTTGCCAATCATAGGGATGGGGATGCACAGCCGTGGCAAAAGTTCCATCAACTTGCTATGGCGAAGATCTCTCCCATCCCTCTCAAGATTCGTCGCATGGCATGATGCTTGCGTCATTCGGCGGAGTACTTGCCGATCCGCCTGATGTTCATGTCTATGTTCCAAAGCGGATCGAAAACTACTCCGCGCCACAACCGATCATACATCGAGTGGGATGCGCCCGCGCGCGGAGCAGTTGGAGTAGTCTTTGTTGTTCGAACTACTCCACCCTGCTGCCCTATTGGCGAAGTCAGGCCACGGTAATGCACCCAGACATGCGACGTCTTGATATTGCAATACAGGGTCCCTGGAAGTCCAGACCCTTTGCCTGGGACCCGTTTCCGTCCTGAGTCGTTTTGTTGACGGTCCCGAGGCCCGGCGAGGGCCTCCCGAGACGGGGAAAACGGCCCAAAGCCCTCCGTCGCGATTTTCCACGACGCGATCATGTCTGGGGGATCCTCCAGGGGGAGGCGTCCAACCCAGTCCCGAGGTCTTTTTGCACAGTCCAGGGCGAGTCGGGAGGAAACTGCGGTGCCGGGCAACGCCCTTTGGGTCCAGGACCCGGGGACCCCAGGGGCAACGATCGAGGGGAATGGGAAGAGAGGAGGAGGAGGAGGAGGAGGAGGAGGAGGAGGAGCAAGAGGAGGAGGAGGAGGAGGAGGAGGAGGAGGAGGAGGAGGGAGGAGGAGGAGGAGGAGGAGGGAGGAGGGAGGTCAGGGAGGAGGAGGAGGAGGAGGAGGAGGAGGAGGAGGAGGAAGAAGAGGGGGAGGAGGAATAGAAGGAGGAGCAGGAGGAGGAGGAGGAGGAGGAGGAGGAGGAGGAGGAGGAGAGGGCTGGTCCTGGGAGGGTTGCTCTCCTCCGAGCCTCCCCGCCAGCCGCAGGTACCGGCCGTACTAGCGGCCCGGCGCGGCCGCCACCCGGGGAGGGGGTTGGAGGCGCGGCGCCGCGGCGAGGCGGGCGCGGGCACGGGCCCAGTTTCACCTCCTCCTCCTCCTCCTTCTCTCCTCCTCCTCCTCCTCCTCCTCCTCCTCCTCCCTCCTCCCCTCCTCCTCCCTCCCTCCTCCCTCCTCCTCCTCCTCTCCTCCTCCTCCCCCCTCCTCCTCCTCCGCCTCCTCCCTCCTCCCCCTCCCTCCTCCTCCTCTCCTCCTCCTCCTCCTCCTCCTCTCCCTCCCTCCCTCCTCCCTCCTCCCTCCCTCCCTCCCTTCCTCCTCCTCCTCCTCCTCCTCCTCCTCCCTCTTCCCTCCTCCCTCCTCCTCCTCCTCCTCCTTCCTCCTCCTCCTCCTCCTCCTCCTCCTCCTCCTCCTCCTCCTCCTCCCCTTCCTCCTTCCTCCTCCTCCTCCTCCTCCTCCGCTCCTCCTCTCCTCCTTCTCCATCCCTCCTCCCTCCCTCCTCCTTCTCCTCCTCCTCCTCCTTCTCCTCCTCCCTCCTCCTCCTCTCCGCCTCCTCCCCTCCTCCTGATTATCCTCCTCCTCCTCCTCCTCCTCCTCCTCCTCGTCCTCCTCCTCCTCCTCCTCCTCCTCCTCCTCCTCCTCCTCCTCCTCCTCCTCTTCCCCTTCCTCCTCCTCCTGCTCCTCCTCCTCCTGCTTGCGAGGGCCACGGCAGGCAATGCCAAGGCGCCGTGCTGCCCTCCCAGAACCCCTCGCGCTGTGAACAAAAATCTCGACGGGAGGTTTTTCGGCTTGCGGCGGCCCCTGCCAGGCCTCGGGCCCTTCCAAAATCGACTCGGGATGAAAAGTTGGTCCTGGGGAAGGGGTCCAGACCTCGGGGGTTCCGTCGGACACGTCCTTCTACAGAAAGAATATTCAAATCCAGTAGCAAAATCGTATGCGGACGACTTATCTTGCTGCTACGTTTGACTATTCTTGAGTGTCCTTGGAAGATGTTTGATGTTTCGTCCAAAAGTGGCCTGTAGGAGGACCTGCCCGACCTAACTCTGGGGTGGACGCTGTGGGCAAAAATCATGACGTCGGGGGTCTGGGTCGGGCTGGTGCCGCCCTGCCTTTCGGGCCCCAGGGCCCCCCCCGCGGATCGATCTGGCTCGGCAAAGAAGCGCCGCACAGGGGCCGGGCGGGGCCTTGGGGTGGCAGTCGTGATGTCTCGCGGTGTCTTCACGTTTTTTTCGCGACCTCGGATCGGATAGTGAGAATAAGAAGGAGGATAAGAAGAAGACCAATCGTAACAACATAAACAGCCATAACAATAATAACAAAGAAGAGGGAGACGAATAATAGGAATGATAGGGAGACAAATAACAATATTAAGACGAAGAGGGAACGAACACTAATAATAATGAAAGAAGAAAAGACGAAAAAGGATACTACGATCACAGGGGGAGAATGTCTTTGCGAGGGCGGTCGCCAGGTCTGCCTGAGGATCGAGGTTCGAGGCAGTCTTGGACTGATTTGGGGCGTCTGGGGAGGATCTTGGGGTCGGGGGGCTCCTGAGGGCGCCCCCTCCCTGTGATCTGGCGCCGCCCCAACAAGTGCAACGTCATGTATAATCATGACTGGAGCCCTGGACCCCGTCTTCTTGGGGAGACTCGCAGGCCGGCTCGACCCGTGAGGGTTCGTGTGGGCCCCGAGCATGGGCGAAAGCGCCCAACGTGAAGCAGAAATGGAGGCGCTCAGATCTCAGGCGATCGCAAACATGGATTAAGGGGGCGTGGATTAGCGGCGGGTCCCGTTTCCATGGGGAATCGCTGATTTCCGCCGCCGAAAGACGCGGCCCTGGCCGCATGTTGGGGAGGAGACCTCCCCCGATCCATGGATTTGGCGACCGCGTGCCAAATCCATGGATCGCTAATCCATGTTTGCGCGCCACCGAAGATCTCAAGGGAGCTCCTCGGGGGAGGCTACGCGCTGGGCGCTTCCCCGTCGTGCGGGCGTGCCGCAACCCAGGGTCGGACGCTCTGAGGCACGGCCCGCGGGCGCGCGAGATGCCCCGCCACCCATCCCTCTCAGCTGGGCGCGCGTCCTCCTCCTCCTGGTCCTCCTCCTCCTCCTCCTCCTCCTCCTCCTCCTCCTCTTCATCCTCCTCCTCCCCCTCCTCCGTCCTCCCTCCTCCTCCTCCTCCTCCTCCCTCCCTCCTCCCCGTCCATCTCTCCTCCGCCTCCTCCTCCTCATCTCTACCCCCCCTTCTCCTCCTCTCCTTCTCCTCCTCCTTCCTCCTCTCCTCCTCCCCCCTCCTCCCTCCTCCTCCTCCTCCTCCTCCTCCTCCTTTTCCTCCCCTCCCCTCTCCTCCTCCTCCCCTCCTCCTCCTCCTCCTCCTCCTCCTCCTCCTCCTCCTCCTCCCCCCCCTACTCCTTCTCCTCCTCCTCCTCCAGCCGCCGCTCTGGCACAAATGCGCGACGGCGGCAGAGGGAGGCAGGCCAAGAGGCCTCCCACTGGGCACCAGGCGGGCGACCGCGCACGCGATGGTGCGGCCCGTGGGCCAGTGGGCTCTGCGTGTACTGGGATTCAACCCGATGTCCGCAACGGGGACAAGGATGCATGAGATAGTCCAGAGCTGCTCGAACATGGATCTGGTGCTGCTGGCGGGGACACAGCGTAGTCATCGCCACGCTGAAGAGGTGCTCACGTCTCGGGTTCAGCACCGCATTATCCTGGAGGCAGAGGCGACGACGGCGCAGTTCTCGAACAAGTCCACAGGTTGCGCGATCATTTTAGGCAGTAAGTTCAAGGAGAAGCATGTGAGGCAAGTCTGGGCTAGTCCAGTCGAGGCGGGAGGTCGAGCAGTGGCAGCTCGGATCCGTCGTGGTCCACTGGACCTTGCGGCAGTGGCGATGTACCTCCCACCTCAGCCCAAGTACACGGCAGCGCAGCCACAGTACCTAGCCACGGTGAAGTTGATCGGGTCCTGGTATGAGTCAATTCTTCAGAGCTTGCCCGCGCGGTGCACCCCGCTGGCGTATGTCGACCTCAACGACGGACAGGGCATCACACGCGTCTCGGGCAAGTGGACGCGAATCGAGTCGACGGCAGTGGGGGAGGGAAGATGCCGAGAACAACGTAGAGGGGGGCAGGGGCAGTATTCAGGTACATCAATCAGAGGCAGCACATGTTTGCGATGAACACGCTGAAGGCAGAACTGGAGCACACATGGTACGGCACACAAGGGGTTAGCAGTTGTGTGGATTACATGTTCGTCCCAACAGGTATGATTGATATGGTTTCAAGATGTTCTCCATTATTTGGATTAGGTGCAGCATTACAGGCCTACAGAGGGCCACCTCCGAGAGACCACGTCCCCTTGCACCTCGAATTGCAGGGTATGCAGCCATTGGAGAGGGGGCCGAACACGACGCACACCCGTACGCGCTGGAACCTAGACGACATGATGAGATGCCTACGGAAAGGTTATCGGAGGGACGAATTTCTTTCAGCAGTGGAGGAGTCGTTGCATGAGAGTGAGGACACATGGCGGGCAATGTTGTCTACGGGCAGACCAGACGAGATCTTTCAGCAGATGGAATAAATTCTCGTGCAGGTGGGGCAACAGTTCTTCGGCCACCAAGTGCCCAGCGATCCATTGCATCGACAACAAGCGCCCGAGAGAGCTGAACTTCTTCGAGAGCGCGCTCGTCTTCGACGAGCAAAAATGGGCATGTGTGCGGAGGCAGATGCAGATTCCATTTCAGAAGTTGAATCGAGACTGGCGCAATTGAGTCAGCAGTTACGGCGTCGACGGCAGCAGTTTGCTCGCATCCGACGACAGGGTCTACTGGAAGAAATCGAGGAGGCATGGGGACGTCGCCGCATGGCGGAAGCTATGAGGTTATCACGAGCTGCAGCGCACTGTCGCTACGGTCCAAAGCGGCGAGATGGCAGGTTGCTGAGAGGCGGTCATTTTTCACCGGAGGTCTTGGTCAACCATTGGATGCAGGCAGGCCGTGACGGAGGGATGTCTGCATCAGTCATTCCAGATTACGAGAGGTGGCTGGAGTCGTTCCCTGCGGGCCCCACGCCATATATTTCGGTGAACGATTGTGAATTGGCGGAGGAAGACAAGCAGCGGGTGACTAAGTATTTCCGCTTGGCCACGAAGCGTCGAGCTGTGCCGACTGGCACGACGCCCGCGGAGCTTTGGCTTCTTTGCCTACGGCCGCAGGCGAACATTCGCACGGAGGGGCAGGGATTGGGCTTCCAGCTGGAGTTTCTAGAGATGCATCTGTTTGGGCGAATATTGGAAGGGGGGCTTCGACTGATCAGGACCACGAATAGGACGCCTATGCGCTGGCACTGTAGCTCGGGGGCACAACTACGAACAAATGCGAAGCCAGGACCTATTGGACGTCGAACGGTTCACGTTCTACCTACATTCGGGAAGGAATTTTACTCTGGTCTTTTAGATGTGCCCCCGATGACAATAGAGCATGGGTTTTGCCGTGGCCGTAGACGAGAAGATGCTACTCTAGCAGTGCAACTTCTTAGTTGGCGACTCCGTCGAGCGGGTCATAGTTTCGCATGTACTTATAGGGACATGGCAAACGCTTTCGCGCGTGGGTCCTGGGAGGAGTTGACTAACGCGGTGAACCTCCATGCGGCCCCCGAGAATGTTGATTTATGTCTTCAGCGCTTTCAGTGTAGTGTGGTTCGACCGGAGTCTCTGGAAGGAGGGGTCTACTTGAAGTTGGGAGAGGGAGGCGCGATGGGGGACCCGTGCATAGTCACACTCTTCAGAGGCACGTTTTCTCGGCCCATCATGCAGTGGCTCTGGCGACTCCGTGAGATAGACCCTAGTTCGAACGGGTTGATCGCACGCTGGAGAGAGTTCCGTGCGGACGTCGGTGCGAGTTTGTACGCCGACGACCTTTTCAGGGCCCATGCCGCAGCTGAGTATTCCAGGGTAGGTGAGTTTCTTGAGGTCCTGAGGGAGGCGGATGAGGCGCTTTCGGAGGAGTTGCAGGAGTTTGGGCACGCCCAGAACGTTTCGAAACAGAAGTTGCAGCTATGCTTCCAGGGACCAGGGGCTGCAACATGTCGGCAGTGGGCACGGGGACGGGGCCGCGAGATGATATCAAGTGAAGTTCAGGGGGATGTTCGTTACCTGGGGCCCCGAATTAATCTGCAACAGACCGCTTTTGTAGAAGTTCGTCGTCGGATCCAGGCCACCGCCGAGGCATATTATTCACTCGGGCAGGTCTGGGGTCTACCCATGCCGTTCCGCTGGAAGCGGACGTTGTTCCTCAGTTTTGTTCACAATGCTGCTTTGACTGGACTAGAGCCAATGCTGCTGACCGCTAAACATCATCGAGAACTGGACGCACTAATTGCTAGATACGGGAGGAGAGCGATGCAGGGGAAGGCGGTGATCAGCAAGGAGGAGGGGAGGATGAGGACTATTACGAGCAAGCAGGTCTTGCAGCACTGGCGCCTGGCGAGTTCGGCCACAGAACTCCTTGTTCGCAGGCTGGGTTGGTACCGCAGCTGGGCGATGCGCCCAGATTCTCACATGCAGGAGTTGTGCTTGCTTTTCGGCACGATGCCACTTGGCCCTGACGGCACAGCGCTCCTTGGCAATCAAGTGGCTCGTGCGCACGCTTCCCCGTGGCTGGTTCGATTACAAAGCGATTTCCAGCAGGCTGCAGAGTGCATGGACGAGGGGCAGATCTGCGCCCATATTGCACGCTTTCCTGGAAAATTGATTAGCCAAGAAACAGTGTCGGCCCTCGCTCGCCTCGACTTCACGGAGATTCGCTCGCGGGAGCTGTCGTTCACAATCCCACCGGTGGTAGGAGAAGCTTCGTTCGACGGTGACCTGGAGGCTGAGGGCCCCAATGAGACAGTGGGGCCCCCGTGGAGGTGCGATTGGGAGGAGGGGAAGGGAATTACCTGCGTACGAGGATTTCAGACAAAACGTGATTTACTAAATCATATGAGGCGTGTACATCGGGTTCATAATTTATGTCCATCGATCACACCAACGAATATATGTATCACATGTCGCCGCGTCTTCTGGTCGCAGGGCAACGCGTACAAACACTTGCAGAGGGCAGTCTTGGCAGGAAGGTGTCCTTCGAGGGGTGCTTCGACATTTCGTCAGGTTCGTGTCCCGTCGAGCTTCGAGTGTAAGACGTGTGAGTACAAGGCTGGGGGGCTCGAGGATCTCTGTAGTCATTTGGCTGAGTCGCATCTACCACGGAGTGTTGACGCGAACCTCGATTCTCAGCAGAGTTCGGACGAAGATGGCCGACGCCGAGGTGACAAAGCGTCTGGAGGTTCCCGAGTGGATGCAGGCCCCATCATCTGTCGGGGGCGCCCTCAAGTCTCGCAAAACAGGAGGCCGCAAAGGAGACAACAACAAGCTCGCGGGCTCCACACTGGCGCAGCTCGTCGTCTTGTTGGCAAAGTTGGTGCTCTCGGACAGTCGGCAGCTCGCAGAGTTGACGGCCGCCGTGTACAGAACGTTCGACCTCGACGCAGGTACAGGGCTGGCAACGGCCATGGAGGAGTCTGGACAGCAGTGCAACGAAGTATCCAAAAACCTCAAGGAGAAGGCGGCAGGCGGCTAGACGGTCAACTGGGCGTCCAGAGGGCCACCATTCGTGCAGATGTTCATGGCCTCGATGTTGTGGGCAGCGCAGGAGGCCGAGAAAAAGGGCGCCCTAGTGTGGGCGAAGGAGATCAGCAGCCTCTGGAAGGAGACGATCAGCAAGATGAAGATGATCGAGGTCGGCGAGGTGATACTCCACTGGCAGTGGAAGCGGGACAAGGGCAAGCAGACCGAGGCCGAGAGTCACAAGGGTCGGGTCATCTTCGCGATCGACACCGCCCGAACCTTCGGCAGGGTCATGCTTACGCAGGTCGAGGCCATGCCCGCGGGCCTCGGAGGGGAGAGGAAGATAGGCCCTGCGCCACGCGGGCCGCTGGAGCGGGACGCCAGCAAGCTTCTGGCGGAATTGAAGGAATGAGCAGCAGAAGTGAGGAACGACGCTCGACTGAGGTGAGTGAGAGAGCATGTAGGCCTTCTCAACTGAGTAGGAGCATCACAGTAGGAAGGCCTGGCCAGGCCGAAGATTTTGAAGTGTTGGATTGCCCTGGGACCGTCCACGGTGCCCCCCCTGGTCTCCCGCGGTCCGTTCGGCAAAACTTCATGGGCGATGACAGATTTCAAGGTAGTGTTAGGCTTGCGGAGCTCATAGCACTAGGAAGAGTGAATGCTGATGTTTTGGACCCGCGCCCCCCCCCCCCCCCCCCATCAGCCTACAGCCTGCGCCCTGCGGCGACCACCCCCACCATTCAGAGGGAAGGAGGCACGCGAGAGGGAGAGGCAGGAAGGGGAAGGGCAAAGGAAAGGGCAAGGGTCGGTAGCAGTTCTCATTGGTCCCCACAGTGGGCCCCTCGCCAGGCTGCGTGCCGAATTCGGGGGTGCCCACAGGGGCGGTGCGGCGTCCGTCGAGAGCCACGGGCCGCGCTGGATGGTTTGGCGGCATTAAGTTTCGCCCCCCAGAGTTCACCCTGCCCCACCCCGCTAGGCAGTCAGCTTGGCAGGCGATAAGCAGCAGCAGACGAACTCCCACGGGCCTGATCCTGATCCTGATCCTCCTCCTCCTCCTCCTCCTCCTCCTCCTCCTCCTCCTCCTCCTCCTCCTCCTCCTCCTCCTCCTCCTCCTCCTCCTCCTCCTCCTCCTCCTCCTCCTCCCCTCCTCCTCCTCCTCCTCCTCTCCCTCCCCTCCTCCTCCTCCTCCTCCTCCTCCCCCTCCTCCTCTCCTCCTCCTCCTCCTCTCCTCCTCCCCTCCCTCCTCCTCCTCCTCTCCTCCTCCTTCCTCCCTCCTCCTCCTCCTCCTCCTCCTCTCCTCCTCCTCCTCCTCCTCCCCTCCCCTCCTCCTCCTCTTCCTCCTCTCCTCTCCTCCTCCTCCTCCTCCGCCTCCTCCTTCCTCTCCCCTCCTCTCCTCCTCCTCCCTCCCCCTCCTCTCCTCCGCCTCCTCCCTCCTCCCTCCCCTCCTCCTCCTCTCCTCCTCCTCCTCCTCCTCCTCCTCCTCCTCCTCCTCCTCCTCCTCCTCCTCCTCCTCCTCCTCCTCCGCTCCCTCTCTCCTCCTCCTCCTCCTCCTCCTCCTCCTCCTCCTCCTCCTCCTCCTCCTCCTCCCCCACCTCCTCCTCGAGGGCGCTGGCGGTCCCTTTTAGTCTAGTGACCCAGGCCCCTCGCGTCGTGGACAAAATTGTCGACGGACAGTCTCGTGTGCTGTTTTCGCCCTCCGGGGCACGCGGGGCGACTCGGGGTGAAAAGCGGGCCCTGGGGAATGGGTCGAGCCTTCTGGGGGTAGACGTTAGCGAAAACACATGAGCGACGGAAGAAAACAGTGTCGATTGCGCCGACATTGGCGTGTAAACTGCCCGCGTGCGGTCGCTTGTAAGCGCTCCAATGTAGCGTGTCCGCGCTGGCGGCCCGCGTAAGCCGCCGCTTAAGGTCGCTATGTCATCTCGCGTAAGACCGGCTTCTCTTCGCCGCTTCGCCACTCACATGACGCCGCGCCGCTTGTCCCGACGCGATGCTTTCCGTGTTGTGGAGGGCGCCGCGGGCACCAGGGCAGGTGCCGCCTCGGGCGCGGTGGACATGCCGTAGGGTTTGCCGCGGTGCAGGCTTCGTCTTCGGGGCGCAGGACGCAGGGGTTTCCGTGGGTTTGCAGTGGTGTCGGCGTGGTCCACTTGTCGAGTAGGGGGTCGACTGCAGAATTGATGTACCCTAAACTTGATATCTTTGTCGAATCCATGAAAATAGTAGGCTTTGAATCGTAAGTTCGAAGAGGAAATCAATGTTGGGGCAATTCGATTATGTAGTCGATCCTCTGCTCGAACTTGAGCACATCAAGAACAAACGGCGCGGCGACGCATACCGTCAGGGGCAACGATCGGGGGGGATAACCATAGGTGTGGATGCATCGACCCCCAATCGCCCATTGATCGCCGACAGGGACCTGGACGGCCCCAACCTGCCCAGGAACGCTCGGGTTCACTGTCGGGGGCCTATCGCCGATCTGTTGGCAATGCGTCGCCGATCCCAGTTCGATGCTTCCCCCCCCTTTGTGCCTATCCCCCGATCGTTGTGGAGGACGATCAATGGAGAGGAAGCATGTTGCCAAATAATTTCCAGATGTCTAGAACATGTGTCAAACATGTTTTAAACATGTAAAAAGATCATGCTTAACACATGTTTAGAACATGCTTCCGACAGTTTAAACACATTAAAAAATCCATGATAGGACTGTTAGGGTGTCCATTGTCGTGGCATCCACAACCCTATCGTTGCCCCTCGTGGTCTCGGGGGTCTGAGGCTGGCTCCCCCTTGGCGTTGCCCGGGCCGTGGGGCAGCGTGGCGCGGGGCAGTCTCATCGGAGCCCGGCTGCAGGGCCCGGCGGCGACGGAGCGCCGGAGAGCCCGTGAGATCGGACCTCTTTCCCGGACCTTCCAGGAGGGCAAGCTCCCTCGACCTCAGAGGAGGGAAAAAGGTACCCATCCAAGGGCTGGACCGAAACGGTGTTTCGGCGATTTCGTGGGCCACGTTCGTTTCGACTTCGTTTTGCGGTAGAGGTGGATTCGAGACAAAAGCGAGGGAAAACGAAAACAGAACGAAAACGAAAAACACCGTTTAGGTTCAGCCCTGACCCATACCGCTCCCCTGCCCTCGTCTTCGCCCTGCCGGGCTTCCTGGGGAGCCCTCGCCGCCAGGGCCGAGGTCGTCCCGAAATGCTGGTCGGGACGCACCCGGGAGTCGCCGTGTCGGTGCGTCTTGGTTGCCCCACCACCTGTATCTTCCGCACCTTCCGCGGAGCAGGTGCCGCGCTGCCGCGGCCGCCGCCGCGGCCGCATAGCGGCAGCACTTCCACGCGGAAGGTGCGGAAGTCAAGCAGTGGCGAAGCTTCTGGGCTCGCTTATAGCCCTACCAAACAATGTTCTAAGAATCTTTTGTGGTTTCCACGAAATGTTCTTAGAACATTTCTGGCCGAGACTGTCTTGGTTGATCGAATCGGGTTTACGTTCCAAGAATATTGTTTTTGTGTTTAGAACATTTTTGGGTTCTAAGAACATTTCGTGGTAGGACTATCGGTCGGTCCCTGCTCAAAGGTGGAGGGATACCACCAGGATCTTGACATCTAAATTCCAGCCGAGGTTTTTCAGCAGCAGTCCAGGGACAGAGATGACGGCTAGTTTTCTGGCACTCCAGAAGGTCTGGGCTGGAGCCTGCAGGGCTGGAGTCCTTACGGGCCTCGACAGGGGCTGGGGCCTCGGAATCCTTGCCGTGAAGACAACCGTGAGCACTGGGCGTTGCAAGATTTTCACACCCGGCATGTTCGCCCCGTGTCAGAACTGGGTGGCCAGCACGGATCGGTCTTGCCCGAGAAACGCCACCGACGGATAGGGCCCAGGGCCCCGCAACGTGGCATCTCAGAACATTAGTTGGGGGGCCCGACAAGAGACGGGCGCCTGCGGGGGTCAGCGGCGTGAAGACGAGGGGCCCTCCAGGGAGAGGCGTCCGGCCCAGTCACGAGGTTCCTTGGCGCGGTCAAGAGCGAGTCGGGGTGCAGCGGCGGGGCCAGGGAACGCCCCTGGGTCCAGGACCCGTGTCACTCAGGGGCATCGATAGAGGGGGGTGGGCATAGGGGGATAGGGGGGGGGATGCATCGGCCCCCAATCGCCCATGCTGATCGCCGGTAGGGGTCTGATAGAGCCCCACCCGGTCCAGGAACGCGCGGGTGTGCGATCGGGGGCCCGTCGCCGCTCTGTCGGCGACGGCGTCGCCGATCCCAGGTCGATGTTTCCCCCCCCCTTGATGCCAGCCCCCCCCGGATCGTTGCCCCTCAGCCCCTCAGGGCCCCTTCGCTGCCTGGCCAGGGGCCCCGGGATCGGAGCAAAGGCCCTTCCTGCCCGGCGGTTGGGCCGAGGCTGGTCTGCATCTTTTGGGTGCCAGTCTGGGTGGACGCCTCGCTTCTGCGGGCGCCCAGGCCCTCCAGGACGCGAGGGACAGACCATGGGGGAGGCACGGGAGCTTAGAATGAAGTCGGGCCTGTCCCTCCACAGGAGGAAAATTCAAGAATTGCTCCAAAAATTGTTTGGGGATGATGTTTCCATTATTTGTTTGACTATGCCGGGGCATTTGTTACATATGCGTTTCTGCCAACATCCGCCTGTAGCGGGACAGGCCCGACCTAAGCTTAGAAGGGGCCCCTCCCAGTTGCCGAGGCGGGCTGGGCTGCTGTTCAGTAGGCCTGGTGGGGACAAGCAGGGCAGGCTTCCAGACTTCAGAGGCCCACCATGGGAACAAGAAGCGCTCAAAACTATCATGCCCCCTTTTCCTTCGAGGGGAAAGGAAAGGGGCGGCCCCCTCTGGGAAGGGCCCCGTCCAGGGCGGCCCCCCGCCGCTTTGACGCGGCGGTGACCCCAGAGCGGGCGGTCAAGGTTGAAAACCGATAGTGGCTTGGAATTGGCCAGTATCGAAAGCCACGATCGTTCAAGTTTGAACGGTCCACGCGATGTCAGAAACGAAGGCCGACGTCGTCACGGCGCAAACTTTCTTTCAGCTCTCTGGGCGGGGCCCATTGGGAATGGCCCCATCCAGGGCGTCACCCCTCTGGCTGGCACAGCCGGCACGGGCGCTCGGAACAAGCCTGGCCTGGGAGGGTTCTCCTTTTGTGTTCTTCGTGGCCCGGACTCTCCGCTCTCTTCCTCCTCTTCTCCCTCGTTCCCTCGTTGCCCCCCGTTCCGCTGAGATGACGCAAGCGGTCGTGGCGCTCGGTGGGGGGGATGGAAATCTCGCTGGGACGCCCCGCCTTGGAATGTTGCTCGCTCTGGGCGTATCTCCACGGGGCCCTTGGGCCCTCGGCGAGGGCCCTCGTGCTCCCTCGGCGCACCTGCCCCTGGACGGCCAGCCGCCCGCGATTTTTCCGACCCCCCCCCGCCCTGGAGTTCCCGACCTCCCCGAGGGCAGCGTTTCGCCCCGGATCCGTTGTCGATGGCCCCCCGCGGCCCGAGGGCGGCCACCAGACGTTGGTGGCCGCCCTCGCGGGTCGCGGAGAGCCGCGTCGGGGTCCGGGGGCCGCCTTGCGGGTCGCGGGGCCGCTCTCGGGCAGCTGCTTTGCCGCACGTCGGCCTCGAGGCGGGGCCGAGCTGCCGGGGCAAAACGCAGCGACTGGCAGGAACAGTCAGCCCGACGTCTCGGCCGCAAGCTCCAAGCTCCCCCCCCTCCAATCTCCTCCTCGCGGAGGAGGGCCCGCTGAGACGGTGGCAGCTCTCCCGCCCAGCCCATTCCCGCTCTCAAAATCAGTCCCCAGACCCCTCCTGTGTGGTCCATCCAGGCCAGCTTCTCGAGGCGGATCTAGCCGTAGCGACGAGAGGCTTCCGGGAGGAGACCGTTTCGTTACAGTCAAGCCGCATAGGAAGGATGAGCAGATTTCCCAAGGGCAACCTTGCATCCTGGCATCCTCGGCCCATCCTTGGCCACTTTCGCTGGCCGCGTCCCGCTCGCAAAGCGTCGACATGGCCTCCCAAGGCCCGTGCATCCTTACCGCGCATCCTTATCATACGGGTTGACGCATCCCCTGGCGATAACGGGCGTGAGAGGGGGAAGAAGGAGGAGAGGAGTGGGGGGCCGGTCACGTCACGAGTCGCGCCGGCGCCGCCTGGGAATGTTCAGGCATGCCAACCTTGCCACACGGCGCCGCGCAAATGGTGACGTGACCAGGGGGGCGAGGCGGGGTCACAGGGCGTTCTCGCGGATGTGTGAGACAAGTGGCCCCCGAGGCACAGGAGTGGCGACGAAACGCCAGGGAGGGCCACCGCGGTGTCGACTGACCCTCCTCCGCCCATCGAGGCTGGGCGCCATCCGCCCGCCGGAGCGGAGATCGTTTGCTCGTGCGGCCGTCGTAAAAACATCCTCGCACGTGCGGCCCGCCGCCGCCCGGCTGACAGCAAGCGCCGTCGCTGCCACCGCCAGCGCGGCACCTATGCACCTTTCTTCTCCTCCTCCTCCTCCTCCTCCTCCTCCTCCTCCTCCTCCTCCTCCTCCTCGTCCTCCTCGTCCTCGTCCTCCTCCTCCCCCTCCTCCTTCTCCTCCTTCTCCCTCTCCCTCACCTCCTCCTCCTCCTCCTCTTCCTCCTTCTCCTGCTCCTCCTCATTCTCCTCCTCCGCCGTTGTTCGGCGACGCCAGCGGCGGGCCCGACTCGATGCACCCTCAGCTTCGACGGGTGGGTGTCGCCGTGTGCAGTGTTCGGTGCGAGGCTACCGAAGTCGACCGAGCCATCTTCGGCCCTCTCGCAGGCGAGAGACAAACGGTCCATTCGTGGCGAGCTTCAGGCCCCAGTGCTCGCAGCCCGCCACCCGCACTGCACCACGGTCTTCTTCACCGACAACCTGTGTCAGCACCGCCCCAGGAGCGACTTCACCGTCGAGCACGTGAACTCGCACCTCACGCCGCAGGAGGCGCAAGCACGTGGACTACCTCAGGATGTGCTACGAGGGAACGCCATCGCCGACGTGGTGGCTGGTCACGCTGCAGATCGAGGACGGCTGGACGGCGGTGCTCGGCAGCAGCTGCTGGCCACGGAGGTGCTCGCGTCCCAGGTCCGATGGCGACTGCTGAGGGCCACCATCGATGCCACGGCAGCAGCCGAGGCCCGCGGTCGACCTCGTCGCTGTCCTGGCCGACGCGTGGCCCCGCCTTCCATCGGCATGACCACCGTCTTCAGCTCTACGCACGCGCTGCACGACGACGGGATCAGCTGTCGGAGTTGCCGCACGTCTGCAGGACACACCAGTCGAGCAGCGCGGCTAGCCAGCGCATGCCAAGGGCTCGTGGCGTGCGGCGACGACTGGGCCCGCCTTGCCTCAGCCGACATTCCGTTGCACATGGGTGACCAGCAGGTGCACGAGATGCAGCTGCAGATGTCGCTGGACGTGTGGGCCTGTCTTGCCTGTGGCTGCTACGCGTGGCCAGGGTTGCGGGCACTCGGACGAGGCCTACTCGCCGAGTGCAGGGGCCACACACGCTGGCCGAGAACATCTCGAGCGACTACGGCATGGACTATGGCCGAAGGCAGGCGTCACCCTGCGCTCCGCCAACGGCGACGAGTACACCACCGAGCGCGCCGGCGACGACGGTGGCACCCTGGACGTCATCCAACTTCAGTGCAGGCGAAGGGGCCAGGAGGAGTCCCCTGGCGGCCACGCGGCTACGCCAGGCTGCAGGCGGAGGTGCTCATGATGCCGAGCGGGGCCCTGGCGTCGGAGCGCAAAGTCCTGGTGAGCCATTGCGGCTACCAGGCTCCGTCGCCACAGGTGTCAGTTCGCAAAGCCCTGGTGTGCCATTGCGGCTACCAGGCTCGCCGTCGCCACGTGCGCCCCAGCTCGGCATCGGTCTGGAAGTGGGTGATGATGTGGAGGTCGTGATGCCCGTGGGCCCGCTGAGCGCCACGAGCGTCACGAGCGGCTCGCGTGACGGGCCGTTGGCCAGGCTGCAGGCCGTGGTGCTTCACCACGGACCGAGGGTCTGCCCGCCACTTCTCCGTGGGTGGAGGCCCTCGGTCCCGCGCCGCGCCGTGGCGCGCCGCCTCGCTCGCGACGATCGCGAGCGGCTGAGCGGGGCGGGCGCGGTGTCCCGTCGCCCAACCTCGTCTAGGTGCGCTCCACTCCACGCCACGCCACGCCACGCCACGCCACGCCACGCCACGCCACTTCACTCCTCCTCCTCCTCTCCTCCTCCTCCTCCTCCTCCTCCTCCTCCTCCTCCTCCTCCTCCTCCTCCTTCCTCCTCCTCCTCCTCCTCCTCCTCCTCCCTCCTCCTCCTCCTCCTCCTCCTCTCCTCCTCCTCCCCCCTCCTTTCTCTCTCCTCCTCCTCCTCCTCCTCCTCCTCCTCCTCCTCCTCCTCCTCCTCCTCCTCCTCCCTCCTCCTCCCTCCTCCCTCCTCCTCCTCCTCCTCCTCCTCCTCCTCTTCCTCGCACCGAGGGTGGGGGCCTGGCACCTGTTCTCATGGTGTCAGCGCCACACACTCCTCGGGGCACACTGTCAGTGTCAATTGCATGCGGCGGCTGGGGGCAGATAAACCGGCTTTCGTCGTTCTTGCACCAACCACGTGGCATTTTGCCCGTGGCAGCGGCGCGTTAGCTGCGCCCGTGGCCTGGAGATGGGTACCAGGCACGGGGAGTGTGCATTTGGTTGAGAGGCGGGGCCATGTGGTCCGTAAGTCCCTTGGGACCTTGTGTCCGCTCACCCTGGGGTACAAGCCCAGTTGCACATGACATCCGATTGGGCAGGGGTGACGGTCGGGAAGTACTGCGCGGTGACGCGGGCCCCGCGCGATGTGAACCAATCGCGACGGGAGCTTCTTCGCCAGTTTCCGCCTCCAGGGGGCACCATGGTGCCGGGCCTCGGGGCCGTCCGAAAGCGGCCCAGGACGAGAAGCCGGCCCCAGGACAGGTATGTCGGGCCTGTCCCTCTACAGGGGGAATCTTCAAAAATAGCCAAAAAATGGTCAGGGGACTATTTATAAACTATTGTTCAACTTTTGGTGGGCATGTTGTGAGTATTTTCAATTTTTTCGCCCAACATTCCCCTGTAGGAGGACAGGCCCGACTTAATCCAGACCTCTGGGGGTCGACGTCTCGAGCCCCAATCACGACGTCGGGGGTCCGCGGGCTGGGGGGGAGGTCCCCGCGGGCGCTCTTGTGTGCACCGCATCGCGCTGGCGTCTCACGAGGCTTGGTATCGACCCTCGGTCCAAGGTGCGGTGCACAGGCGTTCGGCCCTCGAGGCCGAGAAGCTATGCACCGTATACCGCGCTGGAGCGGGGCCGGAAGGGAGGCCAAGCACGGCCCGGAGGAGGGGTCCAGACCTCCAGGGGTCGACGAGTGTGCGAAAAACACGGCGCCGGGGGTCTGGCCTCTCCTTCTCCCCCTCCGTCCCCTTTCCTTATATACGCGTCGGTCGTTGAGAGCAGGCATTTCTGGATTCCCAGATGCGAATGTGCCTCGAGCGCCTTCCTACCTCAAGAGTCGATGTGGCTGTGTTTTGTGATTCTCTGGGAGGGCCTGTCTCGAGCCCGCCTCGCCCATGCGCTCCCCCTCGTGGGACCTGTTTGGGCGTTGCGGTAGTTAGCGCCCTGCCTCGGGTCCGCCCCTCGCTGTGGTTTCTCGAGCCGTGGCCGTGCTCCGCGGCCGTGGAGGTCCGGAGGTAGGCTAAGTGGGCCAGGTCACTTAGTGCGCCCAACTTCTAGTAAGTTTAGCTCCAAGGCCAGTTTGGGTTCTAGAAGGTTATTTGTAAGGTCAGAACTTACGTTTTGGCTTCTAGAAGGTCGTTTCGGATGATCTTGCAATTCAGTTTGAGTTCCAGAGGGCCCTCTCTCCTCGCCCCCTCGCTTTTGTCTTTTCCCGAAGCCCGCTCTCGGCTCAGGGCGTTCTTCCTTTCACCTCTTCCTCGCTTCCCCCTTCCCCTCTCCTCCTCCCTCCCTTCCTCCTTCCTCCCTCCTTTGCCCTTTCCCCTCTCTCTGTCCCCTGTCTCCGTTCCGCTCCCCCTTCCCCCCCATGCCCTCTTCCGCCTCTTCTCTTTTCCCCGCCCCTTCCCTCCCCCCCTCGAGGGCCCCCGGGGGCGGCCCCGAGCGGCGGCAGCCATGCCGCGCAGCGCCCTCCTCGTCGCCGCCTACCCCGATGGGCGGTGGCGGCGGCGAGACGGGCGGGGCATGGGGGGAGGGGGGCGCCCTTTTTCTCGCAGGGGCGCCCGGGGCCGTAGGCCCCGAGGACGAGGAGGAGGAGGAGGAGGAGGAGGAGGAGAAGGAGGAGGAGGGGGGGGAGGAGGAGAGGAGGAGGAGGAGGAGGAGGAGGGGAGGAGGAGGAGGAGGAGGGAGGAGGAGGAGAGAGAGGAGGGGAAGGATGAGGAGGAGGAGGAGGAGGAGGGCGAGGGGGAGGAGGAGGGGAGGAGGAGGAGGAGGAGGAGGAGGAGGAGAGGAGGAGGAGGAGGAGGAGGAGGAGGAGGAGGAGGGAGGGGGGAGGAGGGAGGAGGAGGAGGGAGGAGGAGGGAGGAGGAGGGGTGGGAGGAGGGAGGAGGAGGAGGAGGAGGAGGAGGAGGAGGAGGAGGAGGAGAAGAAGAAGGGGGAGCAGGAGAGGGGGATACGGGAGAGACGGAGGAAGTGCAGGATTGGGGGTGAGGAGAGAGGAGGCGGAGGCAAGAGGCAGGAGGCGCGGGGATCAGGAGGGGGGGAGGCGGCGGAGGATGATGAGGAAGAAGGGGAAGGGCGACTGGGGGCTTCCCGTTTGAAAGAGGAGGGTTGGGCAGGGCCCGCCAACGAGCCTCGCTGCGGCCGGCGCAGTGGCTCGTCGAGAGGCTCCGCGAAGCTGGGTTGGTGCCGGAGCGGGAGCTCTGGCGCCTGCGGGGTGGAGAGGACAGGGGGCCCCGCCCCCCATTGTCCTTCGGGCCCTCGGGCCACCGCCCGCTCCCACCCCCGTCCCCCGTCCGACCTTCTCCCCCTTTCTTCTCCGAATTCCTCTCCCTCCTCCCCTGCTCTCTTCTCCCTACTCCCTACTCTCTCCCTTCCTCCTCCCTCCCTCCCCTCCCCTCTCTCCTTCCTACTGGCTCCTTCCCCCTCCTGCGGATAGGATGCGGGCCATTTCGATTTCCTTGAAATCCGGCCGAGCGCACTGCTCATCCTGGACTCGGAGGGCGGCCTGCTCGAACGCGGGCCGCTGACTCCATGGTCGGCGGGGGGGCGCCCGAAGAAGGGAAGGGGCCCTGGGGGGTCCAGGGGCCAGGCCCTCGCGGCCAATTCATGGGGGGCCCTGGGAGGTCGCACGAGGCGGAAATCCTCCGCGATTACTTCGAGTACCCTCAAGACGCTTA